GAACCCGAGACCCCCAGGATTACAAGGCCAGCGTTCTAACCGCTAGACCACCGTGGCTATACATGCATTAGCAGAACTAATTAATATCGTACACTTTTTTTTCTATTTACGTACGTAAAATGTGATCCAGTACGTTAGCTCTTAAAAGGGCTATTATTAACACGTGGCATCGTTTATAAAATGTCCAGAATTCCTTAACCTCAACCACGGGTTTCACTTCGTCTCGACATGGACTCTCCTCGGGTGCTGCAGCCACGTAGTGTCTTGAGACGGCCACCAGGGTGTGACATCACGGCGTTGCAGTCCGTCTTTGTGCGTGAGACTACATCGGGCGTGTGTTTCGCGACGAAACAGTAATACCTGACACAGACTTTCTCTTTAACGCGGTTTCCTCGGTTCATTCCCAGTCTCGTGCCCAGATTTATACCCCCCCCTCTCTCTCCTCTCTCTGTTTCTTCGAGCTCTCGCTGTTGTATCATTTCTCCCCGCGAGAGGAGATGAGCAGGAACGTCTCCTTCATGTTCCCTCCACATCTGCACATCTTCTCTGCGTTTCAGTTCTCATAATGTCGCTGTATCCCTTCACGAAGAGAGAGAAATATAATGGCAGTGTCCCTGCTGTGTACAGTTTCTCTTTTTAGCGAGAGTTTCTGAACTCATCCTTTTTTTGTGGGGGGTTGGGGGGGGTCGCTGCAGTGGAGATCGATACGCGGTCGCCTCTCGGCCTTGGACATGGCGCCATGACTACTGGTACAGCGGCTCAGACCCTTCCTCCTCCCCCCCCGCCTCCTCTACCAGCGACTCCTAACCTGGCCCCGTCGGTACGTCAGGAGACAAGATAGTCAGATTCCTCGCGAGGACACTGTTTTGTGTCGCTCGATCGGATGTCTTCCTTACCGCGTGCATCCGAACAAATGCCGTGCGAGAACCCTCAAGTGAGACGCCGGAACTTGTGGGTCGAACTGCTTCGACGTCCGCCTCCAGTGCGATGTTTAATTTGGAAGCAGCGAGTGTTGGCCGCGTCGCAACATTGTGAACTAGCCTCTGGGCGAGTGATGCTGTATAAATTCGTTGTTCTGTTGCATGGACAGAGGTTGATGGCATAACTCGTGGTTCTGTGTTGCAGCCAGGGCGACGAGACAGATGGGTGGGGGGTGGGGGGGGTTAGAAATAGAATAAGCTGCAGTCAGCTCTCTCTCTCTCAGAGTGCACAAGGCTGACTGACATCGGAATCTCTTTATAGCGATTTCGTCTCGCCAAACAAGAATTCTTTACAAGTCACACAGGAACTATATTTAAAGTGCGCGTTATTGCAGGAACGGAAGGTCCATTGCAACCGCTTCATTCCGCACGAAGCAAGAGTGTACGCGTTCGAGGTCGCCAAAGGGGATCGTCCAAGTATTGCCTGCGGTCCCACCTGTAAGGATCACATCCCTTTCCAGCGATCAGCCGTCCGAGAATCGAGATTATTTCCGGTGTTTCTCACACAGTTTCGCGACTGTCCCACGTATTTATCCACAAAGCCACATCAACCCCTGATGATGGCGGCAGGGAAAGTCTCCGAAACATTTGCACTGTTGTCGTACGCTGATCACTGGAGAAGACTAACTCGTAAATGCATCCAGTCTCAGCGAAACCTTCGATTGAATTGTGTTTCTGTACTATTTTCGTCCGGGCGTGCCTTCGCGCGTTATTAGCAGTCGTACGAAAGACAAAAGAAGTTCTTGTATGATGTAATTTCCTTTTCGCTGCGAGGTTGGTGCTCGCTCGCTCGCCGCGTGATATTGCACCGTCTGATTTGGGAATTGTTTACCTTTGACGCGTGAGATCAAACCGGGAACAGTTGCGGAAGGTTTGGTTAATGAATTCGAGTCTCTGTTTGTCGAAGCAAGCCCTCTTAAAGCAGAACAAGTTGTCTTGACGCCACCAGCGAAGTCATTCAGCGAGTAAATCTCCTGTCGAAGCGTGCGGTGGCGAATTTCTTTAACCCTTTGAAGCCGAAGATCGTCTGAATATTATTTATGAATTCAGTCCGTACCGCGAAGAAAACACTACACCTCACCATTACGAAAATCAGCTGGTTAACCCTTTGAAGCCGAAGATCGTCTGAATATTATTTATGAATTCAGTCCGTACCGCGAAGAAAACACTACACCTCACCATTACGAAAATCAGCTGGTTAACCCTTTGAAGCCGAAGCTCGTCTTCATAATATTTACGAATCCAGACCGTACCGCGAAGAAAACACTTCACTTAACCATTAGAAGTCGAATCAGGCGGTACCACATAAGATTTAACCAAAGAACATCCCGGTCAAAGCCTTAAAAGACGTTGCTTTCCATTGAAAGCTGCTGAGGTTTTAAAGGTACCTTCGTCGACGGGATATTCGGCTTTGTTCCGAAAACGACAGTAATTGAGAAATGAGACGCGGCATAAATAAGCTTCGTGCCCGCTAATAAATTTAATAAAATTTTCATCGGATTCGAACTGAGACCGCTCGTTAGCACAGGAAACATCTGCATTATCTCCGTTCGGTTCGTCCATCTTCATGTCGTAAAGGAGGGAAACATAAATCAGGTTAGGATTGTCAGGAACACGTCTGTGTTATGGTGGGGGGTCCCCCTTCTCTTGATATTCACAAAATTTGGAATGTTCGTCATGCCAGCGTAACATCGCTCTTTTAGTAATAACGGCATTCCAGATAAGACGAGACGCTGGGCTGTTAGAGCGCACTCACCGCGTCCCTCGCCCGCTGTCATTTCATGTTATTGTTCATGTTCTTGTATTTTGTTTTTTAATAACGAAGAAGCAATTGTATTATTCTTTGCAACGCCTTGCTCGTAAGTATTTATCACATAAGTAATGTTAATTGTTGCCTTTAGAAATGCCACGTAAATTCTGCCTCTGCAATCGACTTGGGGTGGGTGTTTATTAGTTGGAACAGCGCGTACGCCGGCCATTATTCTCCCGCGAAAACGTTCTTACATTTGTTATGCGACTCTTCAGAGTAATTTCTGTGTCAAATAAGAGTTTGTTCTGTCGTCTTGTGTATTTACGGAGCGCAGAAGGCACAGAGCACCCGAATGTTTGCTGGACAGACAGTAACATTTGTACCACGTGTCTCCCAAGGGCGAGAGGAGAATTTGCAAATCGTCTTTGCCGGCTGAAGGTGTTATGACAGTAGCAAGTTGTGGGAATTGTCAGTAAGCCAACAACGCGAAGAGTGAGACGGCATTATGACTTGCCAATTAACCCCCAGAAACTGGAGGTCATATAAATAATACGTAATAATGTAGCGTCTACCTCTAACAAAATATAACGCGTCTCCATTACAAAGATCGATTGGTTAACGATGTTAAATGGAACAGCTGCTGTTTATTCAGAGAAACGTACGGAATCCAGTGGGTAAACGAGATTTTAGGTTCTCAAGGCGTTGTTTGTGCCTTGTTGTCAACCAGGTAGAAGTTTGTCAGCGTTTCGGAGGTTTTTGCTACCTCCGTCGTCAGGGCAACATCCCACAAGACAGCCATCTTCGAGTGGGTAAATTCGCTGTTATTTCTTGTTAAAGCAGGTGGTACAATTACCACTGGGTGTCGTCTGCTGGTTCAGCTTTATATCGATGCAGACTTTCACTTTCTGAAAATTTGAAGGAGTAAACCTTGGACCCTCGCGCTGTCAAAATGTTGGCAGTACTCAGCAAAAAGTAACGCGTTGATGAATCTGCATAAACGCACCTAGTTTTCCCGGTCGCATGTGGAAATGTGTTCCCTTGCCTCGACAGCGTTGCCAAATACGTCGTGCACACCCGAGGAGCTCAGAGCTGCAAAACCGATGACTTCCGTCAGCGCAAGGTCCAGCAACGATGCCCCGGTATTGCAAATTTTGCATATGTCAGCCAGAGAAGAATAAATATGTCGCTCGTTTTAGCGAATGTGCCCGTTCGGATAAGGCCCCGGTTCAAACCTTGCCACCTGCCGAAGGTTCACACCAGTTCGGGAGAGAACAAGGCGGAGAAGACTTGTGCTCTCGATTGGAAGATGTTGATACGTATCGATCGATGTCTCGAAACCTCAGAAAAGGGAAGCGAAGACCTCGTGGCGGTTTGGAAGTCACGCGAGACTCCCTCTCGGACCAGAACGCTGTTTGTGACGGAATTTCCTTCCCCGTAGAATCTCCCGCCCGCAGGCAAGATTGAAGGAAGAATCGGCGACGTGTTTCTCCGTTTCCATGGCCATCTTGTTTCAAAGCCGCAGCCAAAGACTAAGGGCGGTATCGCACTAGGATGCCAACGGGAGGCCATGGCGCAGCTGCCAGCATCTCGGCCAAACTCAATGCATTAATTTAGTAGTCATATATCGCACCTGGCATCCGTCTGGCAGCGCTTCCAACTTGGCATCGCTGCCAACCAAGATGCCAAGTTCAAATGCTACTGGCATCGCTGCCAAGGCCAAATCAACATC